TCGAGTCTTTCCGTCGCATACTCTATGAATCTAGATAGACCATAGTTACATTCTATACGCACTAACACCTACTTCGCGGCGTGCTGTCGAGTTATATGTATAGAAAGAATAATAGCTATACAAGCTTTGCCTATGTTCGGCTGTCCAAAGGTTGACATGTTCAAGAAAATCTTTTAATTTTGCGCCGCCTCCGAAAAGGTTGAAATGTATTTAATACACTGCCTAACGAGTAAATAGGTTTCATTCATATCTGTGACGTAATTGTATGATTGAATGAAATAGAAATTATTTTATACTTTTTAGTGCATTTCGAAGTCGGTGCATTTTTCTTCTTAAAATTATTTTATCATATGGAATGTTCTGGAAATCCTAGCTGTCTAATGTTTCTTTGAGGAGGGCTCTAGAACATTCCTGGTCGCGTTTAGAATATATGTATATATATATATTCATACTTCCGAGGCTTACAATAATTGTTTAGAAATCAATTAACGGCATATGAAGAGGTATACAATGTCTAAAATATGGTAAAAAAATGTAAAAATAATGATATTTTTAATAAAAATGCTGATTGCCCTTCTTCACAGGAGGTGATTTTAAATTATATATTTAATAAACATTGCAACCAACAACAAATTCCAAAAACACGTATCTTCTATTTTTGTCCATAGTTTACGTACACGAAGTTGCAAAAAAATAGATCAACATTTAGTGCAAAAATTTAAACAAAAATTATAAATTTTCAAAATATTATTTAAACAAATAAAGTTTATTGAAATTTTTTTTCGCACAAAAATTGCCTATTTAAAGACGAACAATTTACAAAAAGAAGAATCCAATTATCTTCTTTAATTCCGGAGATATTCCCAAAAATATGATTCCAACCCCCAACTTCGAGGGCTGTTACGCTGTTAACAGCCGTTTAATTAAAATTAAACAGTTACGCTGTTTAATCGGCCTAGTAGTCCCTACATCAATTCTATGTTCTGTTAACATGGTGCACGAAGGTCGAAGAGCTGGTGGGAGAAGCTTGGTTTCGAAAAATCGATCTAATTTTCCTCATTGTTCGGGAGTAACTTCGAAAATTCCTAAACATGACGGATCCGGGACGGAATGTTGCACGTTGTCTTTTATATCGAAAGCGAATTCGATCGCGGGATCGGAAGAAAAGCACCACATTGTGCGAGAGAAATCGACGACTACACCAAATAAATTTAAGAAATCCATTTCGACGATACACGGATGTTCAAAGCATTTCGATCGGTAACAAACGTAACGGTACGCAGTCCTCCCAATGATATGAAACGGAAGTTGAAAAGAAGAATTTGTATGCTTTTTTTTTCTATTAACGTCCGGGATCGGTACTCGACGGTTAACCGCCTCGGTTATAAGGACATGCTGTAAACAAATTCGGCCGGGTTACTACGCGCTCGCTCGTGGCCTTGACTTTCCTTCGAGAATCGCTTTGTCCGCTAACGAAAACAAGCCGAAATATCCGACTCGAGGTTGTACACAATGCCCATCTACGGTTCGAAATTTTAACCGTTTAGGGAAGACAGTGCGGTACGAGAACGCGTGTTTATAACACCTCAACGGGTTACGACATTATTGTCCCCGACACTTTTTCTGCCCGGTATTTTAGTCTGTCTTTTGTCACGTCCTGGCGTGCAAAGGAAATTAGTAAAATTTTAAATTTTGGTTAGGAAGTGAAATTTCAGGCTTTTGGCCAAGCAGCACTTTCTTCCGTCGTTAAGGCCAGGACTTCCAAATTTCTTTTTCCAAATGTTTTAGTCTGTAATGTTCGTATTGCGTGTCGGTTGGCGGTATGTTCTCCAAACGGGGGTAGTGAATTTTCAAACCTAATTGGACGTAGTTCCCAAGGTTTCCAAGATTCGACGGCTGCAAAAACTGAGTCACGTGGCGCGGGTTGTTTATCCTTCGGCACGTCAGCGACGACGGCAGATGTGGTGTTAGAAGACATGTGAGTACAATATTCATTCTATATACGCAAAAATATCCTTTACGATATACAGTATTCACTCCGTAAATGTTAAAAAGATCTCTACCGTAAATGTTAAAATTCTATCCCCACTACTGGGGGGATCCCCCTCGAAATCAGTCAATAATGAAACACGATCGGTCGCCGAAACGACGAACCCTCGGAATCAGTCAAGAATAAAACACGATCAGTCACCGATCGACGAAGATCGAATATCGGTGAGACACATGGTAATGCAAGCAAAGGAAAAGATTGTAACTTTCTTATTTCTTACTATTTTTTCATGAAATTTTTACTGTTTATTGCGTGTGTAACGAGTGATTAAAGTTTTTAACATAAAAGAGGACGGCGAATGGAAAAGAAAGAGAAGCAGAAGGTTGACGGGACAAAAGACAAAGAGGAACTGAGGTTCGGCAAACACGAAAGGCTCGTGCGTGATCTGTCTTTTAAATTCAAAAATCAAAATATTTTATTTTTGTTTTTTCGTGAATAAAACTTTGATTATCGTATTCGTTTCGTTTTTCTGAATAAAATGGTACCAAACACGATATAATTAAAATCATAATTACTTGTATAGCAAGCCTTTAGGAAAAATTCGTATCTCTGCCATGAATGTAAAGTTTGCCGTAAATGTGAAAGTCCGAAACTTTTATAGCTTGTTACATAAGTAATTACGATCATAATTATATCGTGTTTGGTGTTATTTTAATCAGACAAACGAGACAAATACGATGGTAAAAAGTCCATTGACGAAAAACTAAAAATAAAGAATTTTGATTTTTGAATTTAAAAGACAGAA